TGATGAAGATGGATATGTTTCCGGATGTGAAAACGCCACAACTCCGATTGCCTATGGAGATGTTTTTGTTACTTTGGAGCAACTTTTGAATGATATAGAATATTACAAAAAATGTAAATGAATTTTAAAATATTAACTAGTATAATAATACATATTAACATACACTTAATAGGTTGCAAAAAACCGTTGAGAAGTAAAAGGCAATTACAAAATGCTCCTTTATCAATTCTTTTATGGGAAATGCCTGTTTATTATGATTTTACAGTGGAAATATTTCGTAGGCTAATAAAATATATAACAAATATAAAGATTACTTATTTTATGTATATGTGGATTTTAAAATTCACATTTACTGAAGTATTAAATTTCGTTGTTTGAGGAAGAAGATAAATACATCTGGCTAATAATTTAGGAGATTAAAGAGGCGGGATGAAATTTTTTGAGTTCTTTCACATCTCTCTATCCATAGCAGATCCGTTTTTTGTTTTTAAACCGGTTTGTAGTTATCATTAAATGAATGTCGGATATACTTTTCATATTGGGGTTTCAATGTTTCCTCAAACCCAAATTAAATTTTATCGGGGCGAGACCTGGATAGGCACAAGCAGCAACAATTCTCCCATTTTTATATTCTTAGATAAAAATAGCAAACAATAATATTAACACCTACGACTACAAAGCAATATTTTAAAGTAAATGATCAAGGAGATTATTTTTGGATTGTAAAAGTATGAACCAGTCTTACAAGCTGTAAAAAATTATTTAATATTCAGCGTAACATTAAAAGTAATGATAGAATTCCATCAAAATACACAATTGTAAGTGTAGAGAAATTGGATGGAGTTAATTGCAGTTATCCTTGCAAAGAAGATTACATTGAAATACAATACAATAAAGATAAATCTGCAGCTGGTAAATTATAGCGATATTCCTCCTGTTAAGGTTGACAGATCCCGATATCTGGATCTGAAAAAGATAAGATATATTCGTAAATCTTTGGTTCGGAAGTCAGATCAAGAATCGCAAAGATATGGAAAGCCTTAGGGTTAGCTTTATTAACGTAAATACTCTAATTGAAGCCCAGGACTAATATTTTTCCATAGGTCTCCTCAGATGAGCTTATATTAGAGGTGGGCTTCTATAAGAGGTGGGCTTCAATTAGAGTATTTACGGTAATTAAATAGCTATATGCTTTACATTGATAATCCTAAAAAGGGAGACAACAGCAGCAATCAAGCAAAGATGAGTTAAATTATTCAATAAATATTTAGGAGCCCAACTTTGTTGTGGTAGTCGCCTAATGCCTATTGTTATAAAAGCCGAGTCGGACACAGAAGTTATTATAACAAAGCATGGTAAAGGAAAGGCAATTATTGGTTACCTAGCAGGTTATATTCGATAATATTCGGTCATAGAGGTCCTTAGAACTTACACCTTCAACTCCGGCAAATACATGTAAAAACGTCAATCAATCAATTATCGACGAAAAAGGTCACCCAGATTCAGAATTAAGAAGGACTGTCGATAGACCACTTAACGGGCCAAAACTTGATATTCTTTGTACTGGTGATGGTAAAAAATTGACTGTATGTTTATCGAGAAGTTTCAAGTAATTGATTGACAACTATTTAAGATAAACGGTCATATTCAAGTTAAATTCTGGGATTGTTACACAGGAAAGGATCGGATTACATATTGTGGTTATGGAGCATTTTTCCGTTGCAAGGTCCTTCATTTTATGTGATTTAACTAAAGGTTAAATTTAGAAATTGAAAGGATCAGATGAAGCCAAATGGTATTGGCAGAACCCCGAAGGTGAATGGATTCTCGTCACTCATATTAATTGTCATCCGCAAAAGGACACAGAAAATGATGGAAATTAATTTTAAATTATTATATTTTTATTTAATTATTCATATCTTAATTTTGATTTTTAATACCAACAAATTTATCAAAAACGTGATAAACCAGTTTTATGTTTAAAAAAATTGTATCAAAAAACAAAAAATCTTTTATATTTTTAAAAATTCTTAACATTTAAAAAAATTTTTGTTTCAAACAATATATCAACAATAATCTTGCATGCTACTTCCACTATTTGCGATAACGATTATCTTCGTTTTCTGCAAACAGTTTTTGTATATCGTTCCAGAAATAAAATTAATTTATATAAAAACTAAATGTCCATTAATTAGATTTTTCAGATTTTATCAAAATATTTTGTCGGTTTTTTAAGCAATTTAATAATAATACAAAAGTTTATTTCACAAACTATAAAATTGTTTTAGTTCTTGATCAATCATTCCTTTACAAAATAGGTATTATTTTTTAAGTAGTATTTTTAAACATAAATAAACATTTTGCTGATTTGCCCATTAATAAATTTTGAACTGATCAATAAACAATATTAATATCGCGTTCTATTACACAAAAATGATTTTTTAGTCAAAGTTATTTACCGATTAAAAAAAGTTTTTTTAAACACTTAAATTCTCCCTCCAAATTTTACAAATGTCATCCAAAACCAAAATATTTATTTTATTAATTTTTAATCTATTATTTTTACAAATCCAATCACTTTTAACAATTTTAAATAAAGAATCTCCTTCTTTATGCAACCCAAATAAAAATTTAATTTTTTCTTCCTGCAAAGACGGCCTTCCTTGGCCTAGAGAAGATTTTACTTCAATTTCTGTTTTAATCACTCACGGAATTCATTGTATCGATATATTACAAGAAGACAATCCAAACTTTGAAGAACACCTTCAATTCCACAAAGAACATTGTTTGGAGTTGATTAAATTAATTTATAAATTCTTCGAGGAAAACAAAAATTATACAGTTCCAAAGGAGTTATGTAAATATTTTCGACAGGCAGCCTTTCCAGGTAAGTGTTGGGAATTTCTGATATCCGATTTAGGAACAAAACGAACGGAAAGTTTTAAAGAAAAACAAAAAAAAAGAGCATAATAAATTTTTGAATGAAACACGAGTCATGAATTCTTTAAAATTCCGTGAAAAACTACGAACCATAAAACGTTAGAAAATTTTTTTGTTTACCTCTAATCCGAAAATAATAAATCCTGGATATATGAATATGTCCTCTTCGGGTATCCCGGTTCCTAATATCCTATGCTTTTTCAAGACCCGTCAATATCTTATTTTCAGGTGGAAGAGTAAGAAGAGGATTGTGGGGTTGTGGATGGGAAAACGGAAAAGAAGTCGGAGGAAGAAGAAAAAGAGGTTGTAGTGGAAGAAGGAAGAAGAGGGATTTAGAAGAAGTTAATGGATTGGAAGAATTGGACGACAATGATTTTAAAGAAATGGCAACAAATAATTTCGAGTTACTCCTTTTAAAAGAGAAAAATGAAAAATTGTCGGAAATTGAGAAAAAATATTTGGAAGGATCTAGAAACCCTTTAGCGATTAGAATGGCAGCATTGGGAATTTATTGCAAATTTGAATCATATGAGAATGTGGTAAAAGATGTTATTAATGGAAAAATTATATTTAATTAAAAGGATTTTTTGTTAATGACTATTTAATTATTTCTATTTTGAAAAAGAAAAATGATTTGAAGAATTGAATCATTAAAAATGTAGATATTCTTTATTTTCTATTTCTTTTTAAATAAAATAAAAATATGTATTTATTTTAAAATTTAGGAATTTTAAGAATAAAAATAAAAACACAAAAAGAAGGGGCATTTCGCACTAAAATTCTGAAAATATTATGTATCAAGGATCGCGCTGACTCGATTCACGACTCCCAAAAATCGTTAATTCATAATTTTTTTAAATTCGGAATTCCCAAAATTCGCGAAATTGATTTTCTGCCGGCGCGATCCCTGTTATGTACGATAATTTAAATAAATGATCAAATAAATCAAAACTGTAGTAGATAAAACTGTAAAAGTAGAAGAGTAGTTTAAAGAAGAAAGTTTTTTTCCTGTGGTTCTTGCTAAAAGTCTGATACAATGTTCATCGAGTTCTGAAAATCAGAAAATCAACATAAAATCGGGGTAAATGCAGGTATCAGCTTCTAATATTTTACAGTAAAATGAACATCTAAATTAAAACCGTTGAGTCACGTTTTGGAAAATTATAAAATTATTTAATGGTTAAATTCAACTGATTATTCTATCACTTTATCAATTTTTAAGATTTCTAAAAATTATTTTTTCTTTTATTTTATTGCCTCATTGGGTTGACATACTTTTTTCAATTATTATAGAGAAAGGACGCTTATTTTCTCAGTAAAATGTCTGGGTCACATTAATGTAAACTCCGACATGTTAAACTTAAATACAGAAAACTGCTTATAAATTTTATTTATTTAAATTTAATACTATTAATTAATTCCAATTTCTATTTTACTTTTAAATTTTTCAGAAAATTGTTCTTAAAAATGAAAAAACAATTAGAAGAATGGTCATTTTGTACAAACAGTTCTGATAATTCAAATAAAATTGAAGATGAAACAAATTCTTCAATTGTAGTAGATAAAGAAGATGAAGCGACAAAAGATTTTTGTGGTTTATCACAAAATACAATTGAAAGTTTGTTACAACGTATAGAGAAATTGGAGGTTAAATAAATTTGTCGAAAAAATTATATTTAAAAATATTTTTACTGAATTATAACCTAATTAAAATGAAAGTTTGAATAGCCAAGAAAAAGTCTTGGTTCCAAGACTGAGACCAAGAGTACCGGACATCTCTACAATGCAGTATTATCGTTTGCTAAACTTCTTAAATCGCAAGAGTTAAATATTTTCTTAGAACTTATGTTATGTAAATCCTTGAAAATATTCGGATATGCGGTTCAGGGACCTGCGCTATGTGTCTCTATAAGAGCTTTTTTAAATGATATACATATAATACTAAAATATATACCAGGAAAAAATCTCAGAATTGTAAGGGAAACAGGAAAAGCGGTGGAATTCAAATAAAATTAAAATACTAATACAAAATAGTGTCTTAAATCTTATGTATTCAGTACATGAATAAATTAACGGTTGATAATGATAAAAATTTGGTAAATATCCCAAACAACTTTGACCAAAAAATAAAACTTTTACAACAAGAAATAACCAACAAAGAAACTGAAAAATTTCAAAATCTGGAACAACAATTTAAGGAAAATTATCATTCTTTGGAATTAAAAATACAAAAAATAGAGGAGGAAAATAAAGACAAAATTACAAATTTAGAAAAAATAATTCAACAAAAAGATGGAAAAATAAATTCATTGGAAGGGGAAGTTAAAAAGGTAGATTTAAATGTTTTAGTCATGAAGGTTAAAACCGTAGAAATTATATAAATATACTTGTCTCCTCATCCAAAAGTTTTGGCTATTTCGTTTCGAAACGAAACGGAAAAAAGGGCACGAAAGAGCGAAACTAAACGAAATTTCTAGCATCCCTGATCTCTATCCCCTTCGATCACACCAAATACATCGATAACTCTTAAGTCCTCAAAATCAACCCTCGGTGGTGCTGTAACTACTACGGGGGGTGGTTAACTACTTCCCTCGATATTCCAAGCATGTCTTCAGGGTTGCCACCTGTCAGAGATTGTTAATTTAAATTTAGCAAATGAGTGATATACAACGTGATCAATACAAACATTTATTGAAATTTCAAAATGAAATTAAAGAGATAAAGACAGAAAACGAGGCTAATATAAAAATTTTAAAACAAAAAAATAAAGAAAAATATCAACAATTGGAGAAAGAAAATAAAAACAAAATTTCGAATTTGGAAGAAATTATTAGTGAAAAAGAAGTAAAAATAACTTCAATGGAAAAGGATATTAAAGAGGTAATTTGTTGTAAAGTTTAAAATCTTTATATGTAAAGATATTCGATAGTCTGAAATTAAGAATCATCTGCCAACATAAGTATATTTTTGGCAGTTATTCCTGATCAGGGCCCGTAAAATAAATTCGGGGTAAAATAACCGGTAGAATAACCAGGTTAAATAACCTCGAATTCCGAGTAAAATTGGTAGAATAAATTCCGTAGAATAAATTAGCATTTTTACTCCAGACTTGAGATTACTGTAACTCACTCATCTCTTTCCTTTAGTTTCTATATTGAACTTCTTTTAAACAGCTTTAATTTTTTAGTAAAATCATTAAAGTTAGAAGTTTTGAATCCGGTTTCCGGATTTTTATATTTTTTCCCATCTGGGCCGACTTTCCAAATCAAGTTCCGAGAATCCTGATTTCTATATCCGGATCCGGACTTTCAAAAAAAATTTTCATAAATATATTTTTTTCATTTTTTGAATATAAAATTTTTCTTCATAATTTTGGAAACTTGATATATTTCGGAAAGAGATTCCAGAGCTAGTTACCCTGTTACACTGCCCCCGACAGTGTAGCAATTTTACCCTTAACTGAAGGTTATTTAACCCGGGTAACCAATTTATTATATCAATATGAAAAACTACTCGGGGTTTTGGGTTAACCTACCGTGTTGTTTAACTTTGAACTCAGGGTAGGAATTTATGCTGCGGGTTGAGAGTTATTTGACCCTCGGGTAGGGGTTAAATAACTCTTACCCCGAATTTATTCTACGGGCCCATAAGGACAAATAGTATATCTAATTATTTTTTATATACTTATTTAGTGTATGAATAAATTAGAGGTGGATAATGATCAAAAAATTAAGCTTTTCCAAAATGAAATAACCAACAACCTGGAACAACAATTTAAAGAAAATTATCATTCTTTGGAATTAAAAATACAAAAAATAGAGGAAGATAATAAAGACAAAATTATAAATTTAGAAAAAATAATTCAACAAAAAGATGAAAAAATAAATTTATTGGAATGTGAACTCAAAAAGGTAGATGATTTAAATGTTCTAGTTACTTCCCATTTTTTCTTCTATGGGATGTACATATTGGTTATCCGTAGAGTTGTGATTTTTATGCATTTAATGATTTTTTTAAATCGGGGACTGATTTTTTAGGTTTGGCGCTGGTATAGTTTATAAACGTCCATGAACTTTTAGGCGTCAATCAAGTGTTGCAAAGTGGGGCTTTTCCTCGAAATTTCTGAAGGTTAAAATCGTTTTTCTGATATTTTTAAAATTGGCTGTAATACTCAGAAATCTCGAGGACTTGGGTAACTCCGTCCACATAGAATCTACATAAAAAATACTGAACATAAATACGAGTAGGATTAAAAAACTTTTCTTAAATTAAAGGCAAATGAAACAGTCAACGCTTTGAATAAAAAAATAGACAATATAACAAAAGAACAAGAACATTTATTCAATTTTATTACTAAAAAACCGGTTAGTAACAGAGATCGAACTGGGGTCGTGCTATATTTGAGTATTATATAGCTTAACTCGGGTTCTACTATTCTGGGGACTTCTATTAGACTGAATTATATTATTTAAGTATTTATTCTATTTATTCATTTATTCTCCATATAAATATGGGATACAATAATAAGGAAGAGAAATGGTTGGGCCAAGTCTGATAATGAGGAAAAGGCAGGGGTATTTATAGAACAATTTAAGGGTCAATATTTAAACAGAAAGTGAATAATAAAGATAAGATAAGAGTCAAGAATTGGTTGGGAATGTCGGGAGACCTTTATAATTAGAAATAGGTCAACTTTATATTTGCATGTGAAAATGCAAATTGTTTATTTGATTAAGCGAATGCAGCAGGTCGTACGAGAATCGAGTTCGATATCAAAAAAATCTCGATAACCGAAATTCTTTTAAAATCTTGTATCGGTACGATCTCTAGTTATTTTATTTATTTAAATAAACAAATTATTTAGAAATATACACAAATTAAAAATAAATGGAAGTATTTTGATAACATTCGCAAATGTTGTGAAGATAATTGTGTAAATACTAGAGTTGTACCCCGACCCCGTACCCCGAACCCCGACCCCGTTCCCGAACGATTTTTTCACGATTCTCCCCGACCCGAACCCCGCCCCGAAAAAAAGTGAAAACCCCGTTCCCCGGCCCAAAAAGTTTCGGGGTTATCGGGGTTTTATACCCCTAAAAATGTCATTTTTTGGAGAAATTAATGAAGAAAATTTAAAAAATTTCCACCCATTTTACTTTGCTTTTATTATTCTTGAAAGAAAAATGAATAAAATATCATAATTTTCTTTCCTTCTTTATTAAAAGACTTGTGGCTGAGTGGCTTAGTCGTTGGTTTTAGCCGATATTTCATTAATATAGGATTGGGTTCGGATCCATTTAAGGTGAACTCTGTTGTTTTTATATTTCTTTACAAAAACAAATTATTAACGAGTTAAATTTTAATTTTAAAATATTAATTTTATTTTTAACTGATATCCCTTGAACCACCCTTAATCCTTCAAACCCTCTGTATCACCAATTCTCAACCATAACAGTTGGTAAACTATTAGGTCATGTTAACGGGAATCAGAGATATAAAGGGATTTGTAGGATATCGAAGAATTAAGGAGTTATAAAGGGATTTAAAGGGATATAAAGTTTAGATTAAAATGGATTTAAAGGATTACGTGAATTTAACGGAATTAACAAGGATTTCGTGGGAGATTTAAGGATTAATCGAAGATATCTCCTGATATCCGTCCAAATACCCTTATCCGCAATACATCAATATTCTTATAAATCACTAATATCCCTTGAACCAACAAAAATCACTCCAGATCACCTTGTATCCCTAGATATACCATTTAACCCAAAAAATCCCACTTAATCCCTCCAGATCCACTTATATACCAAGTTATACACTTTAATCCCTCCAAATCCCCTCTAATTTCTTCAAATCCTACTTAATTTTTGAATAAATCAACGAAAATATATCGATTTTTAATTATTTTTGAGCATTTTTTTCTCTAAAAATTTTTCCACTAAACCCCCGTACCCCGACCCGAACCCCGGCCATATTTTGCTCCCCCGACCCGAACCCCGCCCCGAAACAATTGGAAAACCCCGTACCCCGACATACCCGCCCCCGAGCGTTCGGGGTACAACCCTAGTAAATACAAATACACCAATTGGAAAATGCAAAAACGGAAACGGATTTATTGAGATAATTAATAATACTGATATTAAATATAATAAATGTATAGAAGAAGGTAAATAATGATTAGAAGGAGAATGTATGAAAGAATGGGATGTCCTCAATCGAGACAATTTTTACGCAATTCTAAACTCGCAATTTTTTAAAAACTCGGACAAAATCTCTCCCTCTTATAATTGACTAAAATATAAAAAATAATTTTAATTGAAGTTTGTTTTTCATTTAAAAATATCAATTTAGGCGAAAATAAGTATGGGTGGCTCGATGCAGAAAATAAATTTTATAAGCCAAATACTGATTGTAATTTTGCTTCTTTATTTTATTATTATGAAATTAAACTAAAAAAAGAGGGAATGAATGATTCTTCGTTTGGTTTTCGAAATATAAAAGGATATATTACATTGGGAGATGATGGTTATATTTGGTATAAATACTTAAATAATGCTGAAATTTCATTTGAAATTCCTTCATTTTCTTGGAATGATGGAGATATTTTTGGATGTGGATTAGTTTTTCCACCCACAAAAATGTTAGAAAAACATCCATATGTTTTCTTTACACAAAATGGAAATCAAATTGGTAAGTAAAAGATAAAATATATTTTTGATTAAAACATTTAATGAAGGTAAAGCAGTATTATTGAAGGAAGTGATGATTATTATGAGTTATATTTAAGTTTATATTGCTCTTCTATAGAAACAAACTTTGGAAATGATTTAAAAGCTAAGCCATTTTGTTTTGACATTTCTAAACATTTGTTTGCTGAGGAATTTTATAATTAAATTAATTTTACTCTTAAATTATTATTTTTTGTATCAGCTTTTTTAAAAATAAAATTTCAATTAAATAATCAGTTATAACAGAGAAGTTTTTTAATTGCAATTTCCTATTTAAGAAATTTGCAAAACTTAGTTTCAAGTTTTTTAATTCGTTGTCTATGATCAAACGAAGAGTGCCCCATGACTTTTTGGTCACCCTGTATGTATTTCCTAAACTACAGAAAGCGTAATTTAACCCCGTTTCCGGTTTAGTTTTAAGCTAATTACTTGAATTTGCGCTGATTAATTGAGTCCACCCCAGAGTATCGACACCCAAAGTATCGACACCCAGAGTATCGACACCCAAAGTATCGAATGACCCAAAGTATCGACACCCAAAGTATCGAATGACCCAAAGTATCGACACCCAAAGTATCGAATTTTTTAAACTTCATAATTAAGTATTCCAAGGACGGGTAAGTCTTTTTAACATAGGGAAATTGTTCCAACAATGGATCAAACATCGATCATGATCAATATGTCCAATCAAAGAAGAGTGATCGATCTCCAAGTAGAATCTTGTTCGGTCGCTATGCTCAGTTCGATCGAAAACACAATTCCCCGATGTTAGAACATCATGCCCGATCATTGGAATACTTAATTATGAAATTTAAAAAATTCGATACTTTGGGTCATTCGATACTTTGGGTGTCGATACTTTGGGTCATTCGATACTTTGGGTGTCGATACTCTGGGTGTCGATACTTTGGGTGTCGATACTCTGGGGTGATCCCGATTAATTCCGCGGAAGTAACGATTGCTAAACCACGCCTAAATTATAAATTAGTCAATTCTGCAAAATCGGAAATTGTGAATAATTTTATAAAAAAACTGAAGGAACTACATAATTAATAACGCGGAATCTTGCAACCCAAAAATAGTGGAGGAGGGTTTTTCAAAAATTGGCGCTGGTAAAGAAAGAAATTTGGTGATTCTTCCTTTTGCCCGATACAAAACTATCCAAAAAGA